ATGAGCTGACCTTGGACTGCCCGACTCAGACCTTCAGATAACTAATTAAACAAGAACTTGTGAGAGGGGCTATGTGGGGTACAACAGGGTAAGTCTTTGTTTTGATTAAAAAGATCTTGGTTTCTTCTCATTGCTACAGCTTGGTCTTTTAGTAACAGCAGAGCAAAGATGCCATCTAGTCACACAGTAACTTTTTTCCCACGTAAATTATTGTTATAGCTGTAGGGAGTACCCATGCACATCTGTCGCGGGCGGATGTCGGTACTTCCTCACATGCTCCAACCTCCACAGAAGCAGCAGAAGCAGCTTGCTGGCACTGCTGGGAGCTGCGATTCCCACACAGGACCCACACTGCTCTCCGAGCAAACCCACTATCAAATGGTATCAGCAACTTCCGTCTAAATCTCACCGGGATTTTATACTGGAAGCCACCTATAAAATAAATAAGTATTGCAACACATTTGTAAGACAGATGTATTAAATGCTTCCAAATATAAATTCATCCTCAAGACATGTGTGGTCAGATGGGATTCAGGCAGCTCACATTACTCTGCAACACTTGCTGGGCTCTTGCCATGATTTCCTCATATATCGTGGGTTTGGAAGCTTGAAACCTCATTATTTTTTTTGGCATTACAGCCACATTTCATCTGTCAGCACTCAGCACTGCAGAAACACACAGGGACAGATGGGCCTGGACTCTTCTTCCTATCCGAATAAACACAGGCACAACCGGGAAAAGCAGCTGCTGCAAGGTCATGCCCTTGGGGCAAAGCACTGATTTGTCGCCTAAATGTCACCTGCTCAGTAAACCAGTTCTTCTGCAACGCATGCCAAAAGCATGAGTTAAATCAGTGAGGAAGACCCTGCCCTTTTTCTGGTTAGGTGTCTAAATTAAGCGTGGAAATGCCCAAGACCTTGAAAGCAACTTCCACAGCCTGATGTGTCCGCGGTGTGGGTGCGGGACGGGAATTCTTCAGTGTGTTTTTGTCACGTTTATGGCCAGCCCTGCCATGGCAAACACTGCCATCATGTGGACATCCACAGCATCGAGCCAGCCGCGCAGGGGCGCTCAGCTACTACTCCGTGAGCTTCCGAGCGTCCTTTAACACCCAACTCTAGTTTCGCCAGCCCTGGATATCCAAAAGGTCAAACCAAGCCTCTGTTCACCCCGCCAGTTTCCCCAGAGTTCTCTGGCTCTTAGGCGACGCTTTTAGCTGCTTGTTTCATGCTGAGATCTTCTTTCGAAGGCTCCATACTTCAGTTGGAGAGGCAAGAGGGCTCTAGGTTCTCCTGGTGCTAAGCAGGCAGTTTCTGACCTTATCCCAGTCCCTTACGATGATCAGACCGGCACTGTCCCCTTTCACTTTTCTCCACTTGCAGCTCTGTGGCCACTTTCCCTTTTTGAACTTCCACAGTTTCTTCCCCTGCAAAAAAAAATCCCTGAGTTATCTTCCCTGAGCTGTGCTAAAGTGTCAGACCAAAGGTTCATGGTACCTCTAACCATGAACTCTCTAAAATCATAGAATCATAGAATGGCCTAAGCTGGAAGGGACCTTAGAGATCATTTTAATCCAGCCTCCCTGTCTATGATTCTATGATCTCTAAAATACGTGAGAAAGGCATTTCTCCTCCCTCCACAGTGAAGCAGAAAATGCAGAGGCTGGAGGCTGGATTAGACATTCACTTTTGCTATCGCTCAAGCACAGATTCTTCTTCCAAATCCCCATAAATGCATGTTTAGCCACTCTGTGCCCTATGTCCCTTCCCTATAAGCTCAACACTTGACATCTCACTTGACCTTCAAGAGTACACATATTCCCTTGGCTCCATGCTCAACAGTTGTTACTGGTTATTAAATAATTATCAGGGAGAGAGATTGGTGAAAATCCATCCTGCTTAGTAACCTATGGTCAAACCAATTGCCCAGGAATTTTATCACCAGAAAGAATTTCTGTGTTGTTATGAATATTTCATCTGACACTGTGCCAGAGACTCTGGCCCTTCCACCTGTGGGTCTTGGGGGGATTTCTGAGTTATTTTATAGGTGATTGCTAAACGGTGACAACTGGGTCCAAATCAGATGGTCAAGTAATTAGGTACGTACCACAGGACATCCCAAAAGAGCTCCATTGGTGCTGAACAGACACTCAACCCCCAGCTCACATGTGTGCTTTATGTGGACCTTGTAAGAAACCCAACTATATGACATTGCTGGATTTATGAGTGTGTTGCAGGTCTTCACACAAGGGACCCACAGTGGCAATCCCACCTTCCAGTGCCCTCAGCTCCACAAAGTGCCCCTTCTCCTCTCTCCCATCCGTAGTCACAGGCAATGTCAGATGAGAGGCTAGTTCTTCATGGACAGTTTCCTAGAGAGGGGTCTCTGAAAGAGCCTAAATGCCATTTTGGAGCTGGTTAAGAGGAAAAAAAGCCTGGAGGTGTGACAGCTTTAAGGCAGAGCCCATAATACGCTGCAGGTGGGGCACGGAGTTTCTTGTAGCAGGCACCACTTGAACCTAACTTCAGGGTTAATCCCAAACATCACAGCAGACTTGTCCAAACCTTCTCTGTGACCTCATCTGATAACAAAACAAAGTGCAGAGTAACATTCCTGTCCTCACACCCTTTGCCTGCCCAGTTTAATTAGGTTAGCCCCAAATTTTCAAGGCAGCCTGCAAAGCCATAGATCTGGCTTAGGCAGCCCAAAGGTGGCTCCTTGTGTCACATGTTCATTGTCAGATAGGCAAGAAGCCTCAGTAGGAGCCTCATGACCAGCTGCAACCCACATGTTTCCCAGCCACATGGCCGACCAGCCTGCACTGCCTCCTCTCCTGATGGGAAGCCCATTAATCCACTTGTCCTGTAGCCCACCTGTGCTACAGGACAGGTGGAGGATCATAGGAAGAGGTAGAGGAACTAGATGTGTCTTCTACACCTTCCATGTGAGGTCGCTGGAGTCAGGTGCTCTTGCTCAGGAGCATGAAGTTGTTGTGGCAGATCGCATCTGTCTTGCTCTGGCTACAGCTAAAACCTTCCCTAAGAAATGCTTAACCTGACAGCCTGCAGTATTCTACCTCCTGAAGAACAATCTTTAACTCTCCTCTGAACTTTTGCACAAATCCACTTGGCTTGGCATAACGCTTAGTTTCACGGAGATGGGCAAGTGTGTGAAAAGCTCACGTTGTTCAGTGCCTGCCAGGGGTGTTCTCCAAGGCAGCACAAGGAGAGTCAGTGTGTTCTTTAAGTTTTAAAATTGATGACAGATATGGCTGTAATGACTTACCAGGCTCTGAATCAAAGGATTCAGCATGTCAGTAACTGATGGGGAAAAAGCAGGACGACAAATGCCAGCCAGAGAACATAAATCCTCCCTCTTTTTCTTCCCAGTCTGTAGAACCAGAGCCACCAGCTTAACGTAAGATGAGGGAGAGAATCAGAAGAGAAAAACTCATGGATTAAAATAAAGACAGTTTAATAGGTAAAGCAAAAGAAACACATATGCAAGCAAAGCAAACCAAGGAATTAATTTACCACTCCCTATCAGCAGGCAGATGCTCAGCCATCCCCAGGAAAGCAGGGCTTCATCCCACATAATAGTGACTTGGGAAGACAAATGCTGTAAATCTGAACATACTGCCTTTCCTTCTTCCTACAGCTTTGCATGCTGAGCATGACGTCATATGGTGTGGAACATCACTGTGGTCAGCTGGGGTCACCTGTCCCAGCTATGTCCCCTCCAAACTTCTTGTGCACCCTCAGCCTGCTCGCTGGTGGGGTGAGGAGAAGAAGAGGCCTTGACTCTGTGTAAACAGTAATAAAAACACCCTTGTGTTGTCAACACTATTTTCAGCACAAGTTCAAAACATGGCCCCATACAAGCTAACCTGAAGACAATTAACTCTATTCCAGGCCAAACCAGCACATTCTCCACTCCTTATTCCATACCTTTTGCTCAGGTACCACACTATCCAATACAACCTCATTAACCACCAACTCGCTTCCCATCCTTTGACAGAATAGAGATATCATTCCCTTAGTCTGCGGACCACCCCTATAAAATGTCTGTAAAATGACCATAATGTCCATAAAATGTCTGTTGAGTTCATTCAGTCCCTGACTTTGGGATTCCTCTGTTACGGACAGAAGAGGTGTTGTGCGGAGTTACTGGGCACCTAAGCCAGCTCAGATCAGGCTGCTGCTGTGTTTGCCCTGCTTCTTGTAGGGCTTATCCTCCAATGTTGTAGATGGTTCCTGCTATAGTAATTCCTGTAACATGCAACTCAAACCATGGATTATGACAATTTAAAGTTGCAGCACGCTTGTCTATGGTAGGACCTCTTGGAGAGCAGGGCCATGGTCCCTCGTGTGCTGTTCTGCCCAGCGGTGCTGTGTGGTGTTGCAGTCACTCAGAGCGCTGCTTTTACAGCTGGAGGCAGCTGGATCCATCCAACCCATATGTCGGGCAAAGGTGGTCCGTTAGTTCTTCACACAGAAGGATTAATGGCTTCCAGTCCTGAATTTGGCTGAGGACTGCACAGAGCTCAGGTAAAGCCCAAACCTGGCTACCTCTCACCTCCTCCTTCCCCTGGCTTTGCCCATCTGGACATGCATGACTGCAAGAGCTTTCCCTCACTGCTGAGGTGTACAGAACCTCAAAGTAGGTAGCAAATACCCACTCTTTTTGTTAACAAGCCACCTTGTTAACAGAAACCCACCTTGTTTTTTGCTAACAAGTCAACAAGTTGCTGGAAACAGGTCAAAGAGTAACTGGGAACAGCAGGCAATCAGGCTGGTGGCCAAGCTGACGCGTCACTTACTGTGATGTTCCTGCTGCTATAAATTGTCACCAGCAGTGCTTCACCAGGCTCAGCTCCAGCAGAGCAGGAGGGAGAGGATTTTTACTTGCACCCAGCTCCCCATCAGGCACAGGTGCAGGAGGAGCAGAAGAGGAGCAGGCAGGAGAAAGCATTGTCAGGCATCCTGGATGCAGGACCAGCATGATGTCTCTGCTGGACAACATAGCCAGACCTTCTGTTGTCCTTTTGCAGCTGTCTGTGGTACTTGTTGCCATCTTCGTGCTGCTGAAGGTGGCCCAGTTCTACCGGGAGAGAAGGAAGCTCATTAAAGCTTTGGAGGCATTCCCTGGTCCCCCAAAACACTGGCTCTACGGCAATAATCACCTGGTAAGGAGGGAGCTGGGCTCAGTCAGGGTGGGTTTTATCCCAACAACTGTGGAAGATATCGGTTAGAATGTGAGGGGGCACCAGGTGGCATGTGTGTGTCCTCTGCTTGTGTTCCTTCCTACAAGAGAGGTCTTCTTTGCACAAGGGAGTGCCCAGGCTTTTGCAGGGCAGGCAGAAGGGAATATACGATGGGCATCCTTCTGGTAAAAAAGAGCCGTGTGGTTTGAGATCATGTGCTTAAACATGCAGTTAGTTGATTTCTGGAGCTTTCCTGAAGTTATCAAATATGAGCAACCATAAAACATCTCACTTCTATGTTAAACCTCCTACCAGTAAGAGTGTCTCCTCCTAGAGGCACCCAAGAAGACATGGCCACATAAGCAGGGCATTTGATCACGAGCATTTGCATCCTCCTACAGTGCAAATGGTTTTGCTTTCATGTTGCATGCCCAACTTGCACTGCTGAATTTAGAGAACAGGGCTGTAAACAGCCTTGGTCCCCCTGGCCTGTTCATCAGGTGTCCTGCCATTGCCCGTGCCAGTGCAGCTCCCGAGTGTGACACCAAGCTGCTGTGAGGCCAGGCTGTCCTAACGTGGGTCGATTGCAGCTGGACCCCAGATAGGGACTTTCCATGGAGCTCCCTTGTGCTGCAGGGACGCGGCAACTCAGGCAGCTTTGCCACCTCTCTCCCCATTTCCCAGGGGATGCCTTGCATGTGCTTTCCATGAGAGGGCAAGTTTAGCCTCTGCTCTCCCTGGCAGGTCCCTGTTTTTCTGCCTGAGTTCAGTCCCTGCTTAACTGTTATTGCAGATAACTGCTGATAATATATTAAATCAGATGGTGTCGTGGGGAGAGGAATACCCCTATGCCTTTCCCAGATGGTTTGGACCACTCGTGCCTTCTCTAATAATCCACCATCCTGAATATGCCAAAAGCATACTTGGCCAAACAGGTAAGTGCTGGTTTTGGGAAGTTGTGTCCTTGACACTTCCCTCCCGAGAAAATCATGACAAACTTGCCTAAAGTCATCCCCTCTGCTGGCTTCCTTCACAGCTATTGCAATCCCCGCTTTGTTCCCATTCAAAAACTCCCAGCCCACCCTAGGTTTCACTGAACAGTTTGTGTTCTCATGCAAAAAGAGTGCTCACGTGCCTCTTCCTTCCCAGCCCACTGTCTCCATTATTGCTGATCTTACTGTCTTCTACCACCATCTACCACCACAATATCTATGTTTCCCAGCAAACCCAGTAATATGGGTGTGCTGGCGTGCCACTGGCTCTCAGAAGACATCTCAGATCTTCTCCTCTGTTCCTTTTACGGAGCATAATGCCTCTGAGTGGTGCATACATGGGCATCTCCAATAATTCACCTCCATTGTATGCAACTTTGAGATTTGCCATGGCCATTTTTTCTCCAGACATAATTTTTGTTACACCTGTCTCTGGTTTTATCAAGTCCAGTAAGGTCATATTTGTAGAAGACCACTTTTAAGTTCTACCTCTAGTGTTAGAGTATATTCCATATTGAAATGAGACTAATTCTACATTGTGATTTAGAGGATGAACTCTAGTGCCAATTTATCCTGAATTTCCTTTTTGCTATCATCATAGAATCATAGAATGGCTTGAGTTGGAAAGGACCTTAGAGATTATCTGGTTCCAACCCCCCCTGCCATGGGCAGGAACATCTCCCACTAGACCAGGTTGCTCAAAGCTTCATCCAGCCTGGTCTTGAACAATTCTAGGGATTATGTTGAATTCATTTTCCACTCATACTGTTCTGGTATCTATTTTGTTTTACAGATTGCAAGCCTAAAATTCCCTACAAATTCTTCATACCTTGGATCGGTAAGTCATTCTCTTCCATTATCTCTTTCAGCCGTATTACATGTTTCCACAGCTTCTCTTTTGCCTTCCTTCATTTTGCTTTCTTCCATTCTAAAACCAGAGCTTGCAAGCGAGAGGGTTTGTTTGAGTGAAAGCATTAGTACTGGTGGTGCCTATCTAGTCATGGAGCACATCAGGTGTCTTTGCCTTAGATCACACACCTTGGCCTTCACAAAGCAACCTTCAGTTTGCTGCTGTGGATGAGACACACCAAGGACAGGGAGGCTCATGGCTTGCACACAGCTTTGACGTAGCCCTTCAGGGTCCCGTAACAACTGTCAGCTTGTGCTGCAAAAGGCCTCTAAGTATCTTATTTATGGCAGAAAAACCCATCAGAGAGAGCATGTCCTTTGCCTCAGGGGTTTGGTTTCAGGGTAGATTATGTGAGCACACCTGGTCACAGTGAAGGACACGTGGGGATATCTTGTCCTTCATCCAAAGAGCGCTGCTGAGAATGGCCTCTGAGAGGCTGGAGAAAAGGCTCCACCAACAACTCTTCCTCCTCTCAGACTCTGCATGTTAGATTGTCCATGGCCAAAAGAATTAGCAGGGCTGTCAGAACCATGATCAGAGTATGGAGGAGCTGACTGCACCTTTGCTGTTTGTGTCTCCAGGGCAGGGGCTGTTGGTCTTGGAAGGAAGCAAATGGTTCCAGCACCGGAAGCTGCTCACTCCAGCCTTTCATTACGATGTGCTGAAATCTTACGTGTCCCTGATGTCAGACTCCGTCAAAGTGATGCTAGTAAGAATCACCACTCCTGCTGCTTTTACCATGCAGCTGTGCATCCGCAAAAATAATCAGGTCTGGGAATCACTGAGGGAAAAAGACTGGGCTTAGATGCTTCCTGGAATTTCATTGAACTTTTGGGGTAGTTTTAAATTTCTGAAATTGATCTCCCCACCTTCTTCTGGCCATTCCACTTATTCTTTCTGTCATCTGCTTGCCAGTAAAACCAGCCACTGCTAGGATAGCCTTTCCAAGCCCAGTAATGGTAACCTTGATTAAGAAATGCACAGAAGAGCTTGATTAGAGTCACAGAACACACAGTGAACTAGGGGCTCTGGTTGCAGAAAAGAAAGTAGTTAGCAGTGTGGCTCTGAGAAGAGAGGTGGGGAAGAATGACCTGATCGTAGGTGGTACTTTGTCCCTCCTTACCCATCTCTATCACTAGGATAAGTGGGAAAAGAAGACCACGGAGAGAAAGTCAGTAGAGATCTTTCAAGATGTCAGCTTGATGGCACTAGACAGCATCATGAAATGCGCCTTCAGTTACAATTCCAACTGTCAGACTCAGAGGTTGGTGACTGGACTTTAAAATTCTGGGAAAGCAAGTGCTCCTGTTTCCCCATTCATGTTACTAACACCGGCTTTAACCTTGGTCTCTTTACAGCGACTCAGACTATTATATCAGAGCTATTTATGACCTGAGCTACCTCCTAGTTGACAGAGTCCACACTTTTTCTTACAAGGATGTCTTCTATGACTTAACTTGCAAAGGCCGTGAGTTTCGGGATGCCTGCAAACTGGCCCATGCCCACACAGGTATTTCTCCCCCTTTCTCCTCAGCCCTGTCTCCCAGCTGAACCTCTCTCTCACTTGGATCTGGAGCAGCTCAGAGGTGAGCCTGTAGCATGACCTAGCCAGAGGGTTATACATTAAAAAGAGTCCAAGCTGGTGACAAAGCAGAAAAGTACATGAGGTCTCCGGAGGGGCAGGGTGCATCTAACTGATCTTTCTTCTACGCAGATAAAGTAATAAAGGAAAGAAAAAAGTCCTTCTGCAGTGAGAAGGAACATGACAAGATACAGAAAAAAAGGCATCTGGATTTTCTGGACATTCTTCTTTGTAGCAAGGTGAATGTTTGGAATAATCATATCAAATGCCAAAGAACATACCCAAGTGGCACCAAGGATGCATCAGGAGGAAGTTCACCACCCCTGGCTGGAATTGCTGGTAACAGCTTCCCTGCTACAAATTTCCTAGCCCAGGAAAAGGTGGATTGAAAGGAAAGGAAGTACAAATGTGTGAGGTGCTTTGACTGAATATGAATAGCTTGGGCGGACTTTCATCTTCATTTTCATTGAGCACATAAACAGTTTAAAATAAGTGAGCTGTCAGAAACCAGAGAAGAATGAGATTTTTGGAAAGGTTACATGGGTGCCACGTTGGCTGTAGTCCTCTCAAGAGTTTTTTTAATTACCTTCTGTAGTTTTACCTTCACAGACATCTTCAGATGCTCTGTGCAGAAGCTGACATTTGGTGTTCAGGAAGGACATACACTCTGTACTCCCTTTGTCTTTCTGGAGCCAGTACTTTTTTCTGTATCTCAATGTGAAACAAAAGTTATCCAAACCAAATTACTGAAAAACCAAGCGGGGACCCATGGTAGGGGATCAAGGAGGGTGTCCTTCTGAAGGGCTGGGATCTGGTATCCTGACAAAGTCCAATGCTGTAGCTCTGTTGACTGCAGAGTTGGCAGTCAGCAGGTCTGACTGTTCTCGAATACAGTGGGTGTATCTTCTGACTAACTTCCTCAGGTACAGGGAGATATAAGAGACACCAAATCGGACCCTTCTTAATCAGCATCTGGGCTTGGTTTTATACCCAAAGGAGCAAGGCCAATTAATGTGTGCTTGAGAACGTTACACTCTCTTCTTTGTTAGGATGCAAATGGAGTTGGGCTATCTGATAAGGATCTGCATGCCGAGGTGGACACGTTCATGTTTGAGGGTCACGACACAACAGCCAGTGCAATCTCCTGGCTCTTTTACTGCCTGGCATTACAACCAGATCACCAGCAACGGTGCAGGAAGGAGATCCAGGGGATCTTGGGAGATCGAGATACCATCGAGAGGTGAGCTAGGACTTGTTATTCCCTAACTTGGAACTCTTTTCACTGATCCTGAGAAGCAAACTTCATCCACCCTATACTGCATCTGCACTGGGGTATTTTGCTTTTGATGTATCAGTGCTGGCAGCAAAGGAAGGACTAGAAGAAGAAACCCCAACAGGAGACACGGTGATCCAGCCCACCCAGTTCCTGTTGCTGGTGTCCTCATTGCTGCCACTCAAACTCAAAAGCCTGACCTCCAGGTTTGCTTTCAGGGATGACCTTGGAAAGATGACTTACACCACAATGTGCATCAAAGAAAGCTTGCGCCTGTTCCCGTCAGTTCCTATTGTGTCCCGATACCTCTCTAAACCGATCACATTTTTTGATGGACGCAGCTTGCCAGCAGGTCTGTTGAGTTTGTTCATCCTTCACACTAATGTCTGTGACAAGTGGGGCATCTTCACTAGAGCTGCTGTGTGGAGGGACCGGTGGGGCTTCCAGACTCTCTTCTCTCTGCAAAGGGCTGTATGGGACCACCACAACTCATCATCATATCTTTCCTGGAAGGGTGACTGGAGGGAGTCCACTGACATGGTCCAGGGCATTTGGGTGTTCATAGAACTCAAAGGTGACTTGCAGAGTGTTGATCCTGGCCAAGTCCAAAACTTCATCCACTGGTACCAAAATAGAGCACAGCTCTGAGGCCATTGTTTCTTCATGTGAGATTTTCAGGAGGTGACCTGCCTGGACCAGCTAGGCATTGTCCCTGCCACATGTTCTGCAAAGCCCAGGGAGGGACAGCATCCCAGAAACACCTCTCCTGGGTCTTCACTCTGAGGTGTCATGAGCTTTTTCTCACTTTTCTTTTACAGGCTGCCAGGCTGGAGTGAACATATTTGCTCTTCACAGGAACCAGGATGTGTGGGAGGACCCCGAGGTATTTCATCCTTCAAAAAGAAAGGGTGGATGATCTCTGAGCCCAGACATCCACTCCCCTTGAACAGGGCAGCCTGTGCCTCCTTGCCATTCTTATTCCAACAGTCCACATCTAAATGCAAAGTTCAATGAAGTTAACAAATATCCCAAAGCCTTGGAACGTGACCAAGTGCCGGGAAAGAGAAAAGTGTTGAATAGTCTATTTTTGTGCATAGTGACACAGAGATAGTCAGACTTCTTTCAGCTGCCTGGGATAGACTTAGGTTCCAGCATGATATAAGAAGTCCCAAGCCTCTAAGCAGTGTGGGATTCGAAGCTGACATCTTAGAGGCTTCAAGGAAACAAATAGCTGGGAAACTTGAAGGAAGGCGCGCAGCTGCATCTCTCCAGTGGCTGTCAGGAGAGCCAGGATCAAGCTTCTCTGGAGGGAGTCTGACAGATCATTGCTGCCATGGATGCAGGCATCGTGGGTGCTGCAGTGGGTGATCTGGATATCTCCAAGGGGAAGATCCACCCAGTGGCTTTGTGAAGAGATGCCTGACAGCTGCAGCTCCCCCAGGAACATCCAGCCCTAACTTGGGGACTGGGGAAGAACTTAATGCTGCTTATATCAAATAGTGACTAAACAGCCTTTGTTTCTCCCACAGATTTTTAATCCCCTGAGGTTTTCTCCAGAGAACTCAGCACAGAGGCACTCCCATGCTTTCCTGCCTTTCTCCTATGGATCCAGGTGGGAGATCCTTCATCCTTCTCCTTCCCTGTAGGCTTCCTTGCATGGGACATCTAGCACAGAGCCAAGCTGCTGAAGCTAATCCTCTTTAAGTGGTCATGAGACAAGTTGTCTTGGCCAACTCAAGCAGGCTTTCTGTAACAGGGTCTCCACATGCTCCACCAGCTCCAGAGCATTTCCCACACCCCAAGCTCTGTGGCCACTATAGGGTTTCACACAAGGCTGCCTGCCTTGAGCTCCCTTGTTTAGGGGTTAACACCCAGTGCACCTCAAAACCAAGCTGTGTTCAAGTCTCTGTAGTTCCCATGCTGTATCAATAGACAGATGCATGATACTGAGGTTTCAGTAACTTGCAAGAACAGATACTCCACACACAGCCAAAAATAACCTTTCTGGGGTGTCTGAGTTTTTAGCTGGATCTGCACCGCATTTTCTAGTGAAGTAATCCCCAGTTCTCTCAATCTTGCATCTTTATTTTTTGGTTAATGCTTATTAGTAAAAAAAACAGCAATACCCCACCACAGAGCTGGATACATTTTGCTGTGGCATCATCCTCACAGCATCTGAAGGTCCCCCAGCTTGCGCATGGGCTGAGCCCAGCTCAGGGGCATTCAGGGATGAAAGTTGCAGTAGGAGTGACACCTCATGTGTCACCTCAGAGTGAAGACCCAGGAGAGGTGTTTCTGGGATGCTGTCCCTCCCTGGGCTTTGCAGAACATGTGGCAGGGACAATGCCTAGCTGGTCCAGGCAGGTCACCTCCTGAAAATCTCACATGAAGAAACAATCATCCTCTCCTCAGGAACTGCATCGGGCAGCAGTTTGCCATGAACGAGATAAAGGTGGCTCTCGCCCTGACCCTGCTCCGCTTCGAGCTTTGCCCCAACCCATCCAAGCCTCCCACACTGACAATGCAGATTGTCCTCAAGTCCAGCAACGGGATCCACCTGCTTTTGAAGAAGATTCACTGACCCTGTGGGGTACCATGGTGAGGGGTGAGTGCTTTCCCATGGGCCACCCTCCACCCAGAAGTTTAAGAGAGGGACCAAAGAGACCCAGCCTCGCCACCTCAGACCTCTCCCCTATTAATCTCCCTCCCTGCTGCCATCCAGAGGCGCACACTGACCACCCTCACACATGCACTGAAACCAGCAGGTCCTGGTCCCATCCCTGCATAGGAAACAGCCCTGCCAAGGAGATTTTGCAGCACGGCTGTGGCTCAGCCTTCACCTCCACAGGTATCTTCCATGTCCTACTAATCTCCTCACTTCCAGCCTGCCCTTGCACACTGCCCAGCAGGACTTCTGTCACCTGGCAATGTACCTGCAACATTCCCTGCTTGGACACAGCAGTGACCAACACCGGCATGATGTGCATGGGTGTCTAAAGTCTAGACACTGCCTGAGCACAATGTCCCTCCCCTGCCTCCAGCTTGGGTGTGCCAGGGCAGGAGATCTCCTCCCTGGAGGCATACTGCATCCTCATGCGCCACCCTCCAAATTATTGCCCCCTAATCCATTCTGGAGCTGGCACTGTGCTCACATTATGGAGACGAAGTCTGGCAGGTTCTTCTGCCCTGGCACTGAACTTCCTTGAGCTGAAGGCGCACAGGATCTGGCACAAAGATGTGTCACCAGCTAACCCAGAGAAAACACTCACCATGCTGAAAACAAGTGTTGACCAGCCTTGTTCTCCTCTCTGAAGCTAGAATAAAGCCTTGTGGAGGTTGTCCCCAGGAGTGGTTTTGGCTTACTTTGCGTTGAGGGGGCAAGGAGGTACGGGATGAGTCCTGGCAGCCCAGAAACAAGGCTCTGCCCAAGGGTACAGCCCTGTGAGTGCTTTCTCAAGCTGTAAGTCAGCAGGTTTGAACCCTACTGAACCTGAGGAGCCTGTTTCCATCCCTCCCATGCCCGTGGGTCACCAAGCCTCGGGGAGTTTCCATGGTAAGGAAACAACTGAAATGATCTAGAGTGAAACAAAAGCAAAACAGAACTCATCACACACACCTCCCAAGTGCTGGTGGCAAGAACAAAATCAGCTTGCCAAAAAAAAAAAAAGAGTCCAAAGTCCCAAGAGGGAGCAAAAGCCCTTTTCTGCAGAGGCTGAGAACTGACCACTCAGTACACGAGTGAGCTGCCCAAGGGGTGCAGATGGGCGCTGACCTTAGGGTCGGGCTTATTTTGGAGGTGCAGGGACCCACTGCAGGCCCTCACCCCAGCACTGGTCATAGATGGGCTCCCATGACAAGTGGAACCATCTGGCTGAGCTGCAGGTCCAGGGTGAGAAATAGATCACTAGGTGGCAGTGGAAAACCCAGAGGAAAAAAAAAAACCAGTCTTCCTTGGTGCCTGGCAAAAATCCTCTGGGCTTGGAAGTGAGAACAGCCAAGACCAGCAGGGTGGCAGATGGGCGGCTGGGAGCACCTCTGTCCCCATTCCCACCCTCAGATGTGTGGGACAGCAGAGCAGGCTGTGCCCTGTCACATCCCCGGAATGACAGTGGTATAACCCACAGCACAGGGAGAGCTCGTCACTGCGAGTGTCCAGGCACTCAGCAGGCATCGGGGGAAACTGAGGCATGAAGGGCTGCATGCTCCCCTTTCCACAGTGAGAGACTGTCTAGCTTTCACCCACACCAGCATCACTGCAGGCACTAACATAGCCAAACCACGTCCATCTGTCTGGGCAGCTCACCTCTGCTGATGGCCAGACCGAAACAGCCAAATCTAAGCATCACCCTATCTGAATAAATCCCTACAGCCCTCTGCTCCCCAACTCCACTGCCTGCTGCATCCTCAGTTTGAGAAACAGAAGTCCTTTAGGGCTGGATCCAGACCTTGGGTTTGGCTGTCTCAGTACCTAACATTAGGACAGGGATGCTGTGAATAACCAGCAAGGTGCAGCTCGTGTATAATTCTGTGAGGCAGTTGGAAACCGAATTTCTCTTCTCCCAACCCTCCCCTTCTCAACCCCAGGAAGAGACTGAGTGCAGGTTGCATCGGTGCTGATGCCACCAGCCTTTTACCACCGCCTGGTCTCGAAGGTTGGACTCCCGCTTTCCTCCTCCCCAGTTCCAGCACAGTGAGGCCGTTGGAGGGCAGCAGTTTGACACAGGTTTTCATTGCTGGCTCTGTTTGTCAGTCATTTCAGCCACCCATCCCAGGAAAAGGCAAGCCACCTTGCAGCTCCGCTCATCCGCTCTCCAGCTTGTGGTCCAGCCAACGAGCCTGGAGTGCTCTGGGTCACAAAGACCTGCCCCAGTCTCCTTGGTGATGGGTTGCAAAGGAAACTAGGTGGCACTTGAAGGTGTTCCTACAGCATCTTCTGGTTTGGGCATGGTGGGGATAAGGCCAGACAAAGAAATGTTAGATCTGATGAGGACCCACAGCTACTGCCCATCCCTATCTCCCTATGATTTTTCGAGGTCATCATTCTGTGCCATGACTGAGGCTGCTCATTTGGTTTCCAGGACTCCTCCTGACTGTTAAAACAGCCAAACCCCAACCACTTCCACTAGATACTTTCCCTGGAAAACCACACTAGGAAATCTGCTCGAGAAAGAGAGGATAAACTACTGCCATCATAAAAGAAAGATCATTACTCCAGGCACTTCCGACAATAACTGAGGCAACCTGAGCCAAATGCCTTAAAGTCTCTCCCCATTAAGAATCACAATTAACCTAGGTTTGCAGTTTGAAGGAACAAAGCACTTGGAGGAAGATCTCGCAGCACCGATGCATCATGGAGCTGTAATGCAGCAGCAATCAGGAGAAAACTCTCTCACTTTTCAGCTTATCCAGGTCAAACCGGGCAACCCAAACATCCCCCTTTCCTTCAAACGCTGGCAGTTTCTGGACAGCAGAGTGTTCAAGATAACCTCTTCTGACAAACCACCGCTAAACGGCTTCGAGAGCAGCAAAAAAGCAGTGTGAGGAGCAGGGCAGCACCCAGTGACACAGATCTAATCGCCCAAGCGTTTGCCCCAAATGTCTCCCTGCCAGGCAGTGACATTTCTGCACTGTCTTGGCTGCCTCCCTTCATCACCATGGCTACAACAGGCCACCATCCA